AGAGCTTGCGCATGTTCCCCCGCCGCCGCCAAGATTTTCAATGTTCAACACGGCCAAGCTAAGTTTCCTCAGGATGGAATTGCCTGAAACTTTCTGTGCTAGATAGCCAACTGAGTTTGCCACACTGAATGACCAGCTGTATTCTGCAACACGGTCGCAGCGCTTCCTGGGAGGTGAGCACAAGGACCCCGGTGGGTTGTGTGCGGCGGCATCGCGTGGTGGTACGCTCACGGCAATCTCCGAATATCTCCTCGTGGCGCTAACTCTAAGTCAGAACAAAAGTTGTCCAGTAGTCCCAGTGTGATTCAAAGCCCACCTGGTCAGACGTCTGCCTCCCTTGTGGCCTCTTGCTCCCTCTGTCGCCTGCGCTAGGTGGGGTAGGCGGCGGCAGATCTCTTGCCATTTTCTGCAGGTGCGCGAATCTGCGGAACCCCGCGAATTTGCGGGGCCCCGACTATTTTTTGGGCTGTGCGCAGCGCTGCGATTTGATTTGAGTTGCTTGCGTACCTAGTCAGTCTGGGTGCGTGCCGGCGGCCACCCTGCCCAGCTGAAGTTGCACCAAAGGAGGGAGAGTGAGGTACATGTGCTGCACGGAACAAGGGAGAAGAGGAGCAATATCAAGGGCGAAAGAGAAACGGAGAGCACAGAGTAAGGTGACGGGGCAACGGATCAGGCCGCATTCGCTTACCTACGAGACGAGCTGCCACCAGACCAGCAGGTACTGCAACCATGGCTGGCGCTCGACTCGATGTCATGGCCTACGGTGGGGCATCCGTTTCCTAACTTCCTTTTCCTCTCTCAAACTCTGGTGTGCTTGTTTATGACCCGGCAGCTGGTTGTATTGTAGTTTGGGTTGCGTGTCCTCTGGTGTAATCTTCACGTTGTGTACCGTTTGACGCAGCAGAGTTCAACTTGCTAGCATTTACAAGCGTCAACGAACAAACGGAGATCCTTCGACTCTCTCACGAAGGGCAATACCCTTCTCATCTTTCTGTCCGCTACTGAAACTATACAAACTGTGGTGCTCTCCCGGATGATAGCTAGGGGGTGCAAAATTTGATCGGACATATTCACTCCGGGAGTTCTCCTTGTGCACACGTGCACACCTCCGCGACAATGTCAAGCAGTCTCGTGCTCGTCGTTTTCGTCTTCTACAGAGCCTCTCTTAGTACAGCAGTAGACCTACTCGGAGGGAGAGACAAAATTGGTTCACCTTGGCGTCGACGCAGGCAGAACTCGCTGGTACTTATATTGCACACACCAACTGGCTACGCTAGTCTCTGTACCCCGCCCCGAAACGCCCACTCTGGCCTATACTCTGGTGTTTTCTGTCGTTGATGCATATCAGAGGTCTGCGTACCACGAGAGTAGAGCGGCAAAGCGGCAATAGCCAAGAATCCAAGGCAGGGACGAGGCTATGGCGCGGCCGTCCAAGGACTCCGGTGCGCGGCTGGCTTGTCGACAGATGGGCGCTATCTTGAAAAAGAACGCTTTGCTGAAGATGGCCGATTGGCGACAAACGGTAGCCGAGGTATGCGTACGCGGTGATCCGTCAATCGTGCGGGCTGGTGTGAAGTGGAGACGAGCAAGGCCTTTGGTGTCCTCTATAATTATCCCAACTAGTGCTGTAGTGCGTTGCGTCTATCGCTAACTGTCTGGCCAATGAACTTATAAATATCAGCCCTTGTGACGGGCCTACTATTGCATGTGTGTGCGTGGGCTTGCTTCGTTCCCACCAGCCAACCACTGCCGTATTCACCGGGTCGGTCTTGTATGGCGATGTGCGTATGACCACGTGGAGGAGCTCGCGCGTGCGTTGATCCATGACCGTAGGTTAGCCCCTTAGTATCGCTGCTCCACCACCTCTCCGTTCGCACTTTGAGAAGTTGCTTCCACGATCGTATCTTCTCACTTGTGCCTGAACCATTTGCAGGTGTTACTCTAAGACAGACTATCTACAAGTTCAATTCGAGCGTTTCGCGTCACTGGAATATTCGTTTCAAGTTTAGGACCGCTGTGCCGCAGGTGCTTGTTCTCTCACGTGCGGCTGTATTACCCCTCCTGCCCAGCTCAGGCTTGAGTTCCAAGAAATGTGCGGCACTTCGTCTATCGGTCAGATGACATGCACGCACGCCCGTTGTGCTCTAAGTTGCATTTTTTTTTGGTCCTGGCTCGCCCTTGTACTTGCGCCTTCAGGTGACCATCCCTGCACTCTTCATGTTGCTTCTGGTGTGGATCAAGTCCTTGACGACTGTGTACGACAGCCCTGCCACAAATTACACCTGCGGCCAGACCATACCGTGGCAGTACGAAGAGAGTCTAGACCCGGCGACGATGCTTCAGTCTCCTCTATTCAAATGCCTCCAGAAGCCGCCTGGGTGTACAGCCGAAAACTACTATCGGGATGAGGGCGGCTATTTTGAGGAGATGGGGCTTATTGGGGTGAGATGCATGCATGGTGCACGGACTGGTACTGTACTATTACATAGAGCGGTCTCGGAAGTTTTGGTTTAATCGCCGTGCGTATGGTCCGCTTCCGGAGCACACAGCGCGATTCCTGTTGTACAAGCGCTGCCTGGAAAATGCGCGTCCTTCTCGCTCGACAAGCTTTTGGTGGTGTAGGTGGTTGACATTGCCATGCAGACTTTGTTTGGCAGTTCAAAAGCAGCCTTGTCATGCCTTGCGTAAGCAGAGTAGGTGCTTGCTCCGGGCGCAGATTTCGGAACTCGGTGACTCAGCCATTTGTGGTGATCCCCGTTAGTTTTTCTGCACAGCACTGTTGGGCTCTCGCGTGACCCTCCAAAAACCGTGTATGTGCGGGTGGTCTGTTGGTTGTATGTGCGAGTGATTCTTCCAAAAAAAAGTTGAACCGACAAACCTGCTGACGCCGCCAAATCACAATTTGACTTGATAGTAAAGGACAGACTTGCAATACGTATTACTCGCACCCACATACGAATTGGCTCTTGCTACTCGAAGAAGACCTGCTGACAGGTCATATGCAGGGGTTTATCTGTCAGTTTTGCGAACTGACATCAAAAAGGCGCCAAAGACCCTAAAAACATGTGATTTTCGGTGCTTTCCACCGGCTCCCACGTACGTGCGTGGAGATTGCGAAAACCCCAACAGACAAAACCACAGCTCCTGTTTCTGCGAAGGTCGCACAACAAACCGCACCACAATCCACCACTCCTACGCCACACAGCCCGTCTTGCAAGATCGAGTACTGATGGGTAACCAACGGACCAAAAACAAAGGGCTTTCACAGCGGAGAAAAAAACAAAAATATCGCTCGCAGCAGGCGACTTTGGTAGCTGAAAATGGGAAGGACTTGATACAGAGGGCGTCTCAGCAGCGGTACGACAGCGTCGTTCAACGCGGGGACGTTGCCGCGCTGAGCCGCAGCCGCGACGTCGCGCACGCAGCCGCGGCCAAAGCGCGTGAAAGTAAAAACAAGGCGATGGCAGCCAAACGTAGTGCGGAAAAAGCAGCGGAGGAGGCGAAAAAAGTTGCGGAGGAGCAGCAGCGGCTGGGAGACTTGGCAACCGCTGCGGCGGAAGCCGAACGCGCGAGCAGGGTGCGGGCGCAGGAGGAGAAGCGTGCGGCGGCGGAGAAGCTGGAGGAGGAGCGCCGGCGGGTCCAGCTCTTGACGGAGCAGATCGCTCGTCTGGCTTTGGAGAAGGAGCAGGACCGTCTGCAGTAGGCAACCGACGCGCTTTGCGAAAATCACATTACGGCTGTCCTCGCTCCGGGCATCATCAGTTGGTGCAGGAGAAGAATTAGTGGGTTGGGCCTGAGCCTCAGCGGCGTCGTCAGCCATTTCGAGACGACGGTCCGCACGGTCGTAGTCCCCGTAGAGCTGGGCGCAGCAGCGCACCACACACACACTTTATGGCGACTCTGCTGCTGTTGTGCATCCCAAAACCTCACGCAAATATTTTCAAAAAAAATCACGCTCCGACACAGGTGTTGGCGGTCTGTTGGTCTGAAAGTTTTCAAATAGATGAGATTTCATTGGTCTGTGAGTTTTTTTTTTTTTAATCTGTTCAAAAGTAGCTCCGTCAGGACACGAAAAACGCGCATACAGAGGGTCACGTGAGAGCCTAACTGTGTTGGCAGGCCATTCACATTTCGTGCCCGAGTTAAAGCCTCGGAACCCTATCGGCGATCTTGAAGCGAGTAATACAAACGACTACTGCAACGCGATGCTTAGATGGACACGCTTACCCCCCCGCGGCTTCGGTGTATGAGTGCTTGTTTTGCGTCCGTTCTAGTCTGACGCAGTCCAAACCGTTCGATACATAAACATACGTACATGTCAGCCTGGCCTTTCAGCCGGAAGAATCTTCAGCCCGCGCGTCATGTTGGAGTATTCGTCTCCTAGGACGAGAAACCGGAAGTTTGTCAGCAGTGCCTGTTACAGTCTCGGCGATGCCATAGAAAATGCCGCCGGGACTAAACCTCTTGACTGTGCTTCTGACTATCCCCGCGTCAAACTTTGTTGCCACGGGTGATCGCCTAACGTCATACCTTGAACGGCATAACGTCATACCTTGTGCGGCATGACATCCTTGTCGCGCATCCAACCCCTATACCCAAACGCCCCACGCCCGGTGACAGCTATTCCCTACGGTGGGCTACATTGACAGCGGCGTTGGTTTTCCTTGGTACGGCTTCACCGTCGGGGACAATTCAGAAGCCTTCGATGACTTCAGACACGTGACCGGTGAGTTGGGAAAGAGAACTGGGGCATGGCCTCAAAGTCTGTCTACCTTTGCCCCGCAGAAAAACCTTGTCGTGGTTTGTATGGTGTCCGTACAGAGGACTGGGCGGTAGACTACCTCATGGTTTCTGTACTTACGTATATTATGCTGATGCTTCTCTTTTCCCCGACGCGCGCATCTGTTGCCCTCGCACTGAGCATGCGTTGGGCCTGTCGGCTGTAGAGCTGCTTCTCCCGTTCAGTCTTGGGTGTAGGATCGCACAAACTTGTCCGTCAGAGACTGACACCCACCTGCTTCTGTATCTTTTTCTCTCAGCGGTGCTTGGATTCTGACGGTTTTTTCTTTGGTATGCCCTCGCGCGAGGGTGGGAAACTTGGCATTTCGCTCAACGGCAGAGGTAACCGACCTATTCTAATCTCCGGCCCGGAGCATGGCAATGCCTGTAAATGGACGGAGGACCGGTCACCTGGGTCCAAGGAGCAAACCAGGCCACGCTTGGGCAAGGTCCGGTGCTGTGTTATAGCTGCTGGTAGCCTGCTATCCCTTCTATCCCTTCAATGCTCAATGCCTCTTGGTTGACTCGGCCTCACCACACCTCACCACACCTCACCACACCTCACCACACCTCACCACACCTCACCACGCCTCACTGTGTGTTGGTTGTTGCGCGCAGGCGTGATGGCGAGTAACCCTTCCCAAGATCTTGACACCTTGGCGTCGCGCCTCCGCAACAGCGGGCCGAGGACCGTGATTGCCGTGGCACCGGCATTCGAACAGGGACAAGGGGGGATAAATGTTTTTTCCGACGAAAGAATACCGTCGTCGAGGGGGTATGTTGCTTCCCTAAACAGCGGCGAAGGTGGCGGTGGCGAGGCCAAGAGGGGGTCCGCCGACGGTGGTGGTATGAGGGCCGGAGCGGAGATGCTGGCAGCCAAAGAGTTTTCATCATGGTTGATCGATGAACTTGGCGGGGATGAGGGGTGAGTTGGGACCGATTGCGTCGAAATCGTAACGGCTACAACGGGTGTGTGTTGGGCAAGGTACGACTTGTTAGGGAGGTACCATGACGTCCCCCCCTGTCCCCTGATTTACGCTATCCGCCTCCACCAATTGGCAGGATCAGGTGGAGTAGCTCGAAAGCAAGCACGTGGTGTTTTCTCGTCCGCCATGTTTTGACTATGGCCGTGGGGTGTTGGTGGTTTCTCGCACACCTTACTGTTGTGGTAACCCTTCTTGGGGCATGGGATATTTAGCCAGATCCATTGGAAGCTTTGGGAATCCTAGGGAGGTTGAGAGTGTGAAAGGGTACACCGGGGTGCTAACTCTTTCATCAACCGAAAGAAATCACAGCGCTTGTCGAGGCACCGAACTGTGGTATGGCATCGAGTTTGCCGTCCTTTTGTCAGATGAACACAATCGTCTTCGTGTTTTGACGGCGTTGGCTTTGTGTTGTGGAGAGGGAAAAATAGTCTTTCAACGCTTGGCTCGTTCAGCTAATCATTATGGGCTTGTGGTTTTCCTACAGAAAAAGAGTCAGATGTGCTGTGCTTAGTTTCCCGCTAGAGGTCCAAACGCGGTTTCTGCTACGACTCCCGCCCGCCCCGTCTGTCGTCCCGTGTACGCCATGGTACCTCGATCCGTTTTTCCGGCTCTCATCTTATATCTCCGTCCTCCCGGCCTCAATCGTTATTTTCATTCGCGCTCCGCTTTTTCAGGGATTTGGCGGACGTGGTACAATTGTTTTCGTCGGAACAGGCATTGATTGACTACGTTCGAAGTGCAGACTATGACAGGGGTTCGGATTTCCCGTCCCCCAACGAAGCTGAAAAGTCTAACGCTGCGGACAGCAGTATTGGCGTTCCAGGTTACGGAGCAATGTCTGGGGGGCAGCTTAGCCAGGAGGTGGGACTGAGGAAACACCCACACAAGGTGGGTATGGCTGTTATATTCAACAAGGCACCTTTGGAAGGAGAGGTGCCCAAGTGGGACTACACACTGAGACTGAACTACACGTACGGAGTGTCTCAACTCCAGGACCAGGTGAGGAGCGGTGTGGTTCTACCATCGTTACCGTGGACGTTGGTGTGTGGGGTGGTTTCGTACCATGGTATGTCTGCAGTCAACATGTGTTCACCATAGGCACTGGCGTTGTCTTGATATCACTTCGACCCGCGGTGTGCCTTTTCCCACTTTTTGTTCTAGTTCAAAGTTGATGCATTGGCCCATGCTTTTACCCACATGAAGTTGTGGAGCGAATTGGCATGGCAACCTGGCTGCATCGTGTCAAGATGCCGAGTTATGACTAGAAAAAAAAACACTTGGCGATGGCTCCTATCGTAGCACAGGTGCGAGGGTAGATCTTTTGTTATGCTTGACGTCCTCTTTTCTTTGCCTGCGACTCGGCTTCCGCTTAGAGCAACGTTGAGATCGAAGTGGGGATTGTTGTGATCTCCGAGGGTGGTGACAATTGTCTGGTGCTCGTGGTCAAATCATTGGCAACCTAACTCGGGGTTGGCTTGTGACGATTTGAATGTGGGCCTTTGGACTCCAAGCGTATTCACGAGGAGGTAGTGAGCTTTTCAGAACAGGCGTGCATGCTGAAAATACAACAATCAAATGGTAGACGTGTAGGTATGGCAACGACAGTGGGCCCCAGTTGACTATTATCGCCCGTTCCCTCCCTAAATAAACGCGACTATTACACACCACCACACTCGCTGCTGCTGCTGCTGCTGCTGCTGCTGAACATGAATGACTACACAGGCAACGTGCCTGTATGTTGGCTGCAAAGTGACATACAAGCTGCCGTCCACCCTGGTGAGTCTTTGCCTGACTCTCCCACTCACGGGCTTTGTATACTGGTGCCATCCGTTCGGTCATGTGCATGGATATCCTTCAATAGCGCCGTTGTATTATTTGGGAGGGCTGGCGCCGACACAACCGGTATGAACGTGCTTGCCGCCTTCAGATGTTGTTTAATTGTCGACACCATGGAGTCCAAAACGGTTTTTCCCCCGCACATGTGTTTGGCTGCCGCAATCTCTGCCACCAGTATCTCCACGTGTTCTTTTGTTTGCTTCATCACTTGTTTATTGTTTCTCTGTTGAGGGTCTAATGATGAGACAAGATTGATTTCCGAGCAATGTTCAAGAATGAGATGTGTGACAGTGTTTGGGTGTTGAGCTTTGTTACACTGCGAAGAGGCTATTTCCTCATAGCTCGTTGTCAGCGTTTGAAGGTACTTCTCCGATTCATGCAATAGGTCAGGCGGAAAATCAACCTATTGGATGTATTGCAGTTGAAGGGCTTGATTGGTCGGAAAACATCGACAATGGCGAGTATTTCCGTTATATGGGCGAAGACGATCACGCACACAAGTCAACGATTGGCGAGTTTTGGGTTGTGCCGTTTGTGCTTTCGAGTACTTGCTCTGTGTAGACCACTCGCGTGATCCAACAGCTGCACCACGCAACCTAACGGCTGCATTTCGATCGGTCGTGTTTCGGTGCGTGTGGATATATTCGGCACGATTTGGGGGTGTTGGCAGGTGACAACGTCTGCCCTGGAGCGCCCCCCTACGTCTGATCACATGTGGGGTTATTCGTACAGCGGATTCCTGTCCCTGCAGAAAAGCGTCGACGAATTTATCCTCTCGAAGGCCGCGGGGGAACGCATGTACCTGAACGTCTCCATGGCACTCTTCCCGGAACAGGCGTATCTCACGGACCAGTTCCAAGAGATCATCGCCAGCACGTTGGGCATCTTCTACATGCTCGCCTTTCTCTACCCCGTGTCTAGAGCGGTTAGGGTGCTGGTGAGCGAAAAGGAGGGCCGAATGAAGGAGGCTCTAAAAATGATGGGACTCTCAGACCTCATCTACCACGGTTCTTGGCTCGTGACTTTCCAGGTGCAGTGGGTCGTGACGAACGTGCTCATCATGCTCGTCGTGAGGACCTCCGTTTTCCGCTACAGCAACCATTGGCTGGTTTTCTTGTGGCTGGAAGCCGTGGCGCTGTCTGTCATGGCGTTTTGCTTCTTGATGTCAACGTTTTTCTCAAGATCGAAGACGGCGGCGACGCTGGGCAGCCTCGTCTTCTTCGCCGCGTTTTTCCCGTACTACTACGTCGGCGACAAGGCTTTGTCCGGCGTCAAGACCAAGACGTGGGCCTCTCTCCTGGCCCCAACGTGTTTGGCCCTGGGGAGCGATACGTTCGCCGCGTTTGAGGGAGGTCTCGTGGGTGTCCAGCTGTCCAACATGACCCAGAGCTACGAGGACCACCTGCCGTACGTTTTCATGGTGGCCATGCTACTTGCCGATTCTGCGATCTACTTCCTCCTGGCCTGGTATCTTGACAAAGTCATCCCGTCCGAATTCGGGACACCGCTTCCTTGGCACTTTCCCGTATCGGGCCCCCTTGCGGCGCGGCGACGGCGACAGGCCAAGCAGGCGCCGTCACCGCAGGAGACACGTGAAACTGTTGACGCGGGTATCACGGGAGCTGGCCGAGGACTGGCTGACAGATTGAGACTCGGCAAACGGAGGTGGGGGGGTATTGTGCGCGACGGTGGCAGGAGCACCGGCGACAATGACCTCAGGGCGTCTCTCTTGTCGGGATCGTCGCCTCAACCTAGGGTCGCGAGGGAGAGAGTGCCATCGTCGGGTCTGAACGGGGTGATGGCGTATGACGATACCGACGAGGAGGGAGGTCCCAAGGTCGAGCCGGTAGGGCCGCAGCTGTCCCGGCAGGTTGCGGAGGGCAGGACTGTGAGCACGAGAGGGCTGGTGAAGGTTTACGGCAACGGGAAGAAGGCGGTGAAAGGGCTCGACCTTGACTTGTATGAGGGGCAGATCTCCGTGCTGCTGGGGCACAACGGGGCGGGAAAGAGCACAGCAATCTCCATGATAACAGGAACGCTGCCACCCACGAGGGGGGAGGCCTACCTCCGGGGGCGGAAGCTCACCAGCGATTTGGTGGGGATCCGCCGGTCCCTTGGAGTTTGCTTTCAGCAGAACACGCTGTTTGATCAGCTCACGGTGTTCCAGCACCTGCAGCTCTTCGCCGTCGTCAAGGGAGTCAGAGCTAGGGATGTCGATGACGAAGCCGTCCGGATGGTTTCTGAAGTTGGGCTGTTGGAGAAGAAGGATACCCCTGCGTCTGCACTCTCCGGCGGCCAAAAGCGGAAGCTGTCGGTGGCTCTGGCGTTTATCGGCGGCTCTGAAGTAATCGTTCTGGACGAGCCTACCTCGGGCATGGACCCGTTCAGCCGCCGTTCTACTTGGAGTGTTCTGCAACGGCAGCGGAAAGGTCGGGTGATATTGCTGACTACACACTTCATGGACGAGGCGGACACCCTGGGAGACAGAATCGCCATCATGGCGGAGGGGGGGTTGCGGTGTATGGGCTCCAGCTTGTTCCTTAAGGGGCTGTACGGTGTGGGCTACACCCTGACTGTCATCAAGGCGGACAAAGGTGACGGCGGCGGCGGCGGTGGTGGGGATGCCTGGGAGGGGCAATCGCCTCCCCCTGGACGCCTCATGGCGGCAAAGGACGGAAATGACGCCTTGGAAGCGCTCGTCCTGCGTTTCGTCCCCGAAGCGTTGACAGTAAGCAAGGTCGGCAAGGAGAGAAACTACCGCCTTCCTTTCGCCTCTTCCTCAAACTTCGTGGACATGTTCCGCGAGATTGACTCCAGGAAAGAACAGCTTGGTGTTGCCGGGTACGGTGTTAGCGTCACCACCCTAGAAGAGGTGTTTCTGAGGGTAGGTCACGGAGCCGAAATGCCTTTGCCGAGCAGTGACTCCGGCGTGGGCAACGCGGCGATTTCGTCTCCTACGCGGCCATCGGTTGAGCTGTCCCCTGACCCTTGCCCGGGAACGCCGTCTAGCACTAGCAGCGTCAGTGGAAGCAGCTACAACTCGAGTTACCCTCAACCAGGGAGGCGTGAGGGTGCGTCAGGCGCGACAACGAGCGGGAGGCAAGAGAAAGGAGAATCGGGGGCTGGCGGGGCGGTTGGCGCCGGGTGGAGGGAGCAGGAAGATCGAGAAGGAAACAGACACGCCGTGGACACGGAACCTTTGCTTGCAGGTGATAATCGACGTGTATCTCGCCCGAGCGTTAGGTGTCAGCTTGTGTTTGCATCAAGGAAAACTAATTCGGACCAGGCACTAGACCAAGGTAATCACAAGCTCACATGTGCGGAGAAGCCATTCGCGTTTTGGTGTCGCTGTACGAGGGGGCCAAGATGTCACATCAGTCGAAAATTCCCGAATCCCGAATGAACGAGGGCTTGCATCTCTTCTATGACGCTGTGTTCATGTGGTGATCGGCTGTCATCATTCTTGGTCTTAATCGTGCGTAACCAGGCGTATCGCGCATGGTTGTACAAGACAATGTTCGGCATCCAACATCTGAACAACGTGTCTCGTCGCGCTGTTCTGTCTTGCGCACCACCGCATTCTGTGCGCACATGTGGTATGGTGGTGTTTTCGTATCGCTTGACACATCTCTCGTGCTGAACAACGGCGTCACCGCAAATGCGCACAGATCGCGATGGCATGGCGGAGGCAGAAGATTGGCCATCATCAGACATGGACACCAGCGGGAAGCGCGAGTTCGGGAGCGCTGCTGCGGAGGACCGCGACCGTGCCTCTAGAGGGATGTTCTGGGTGCACTTCAAGGCACTCGTGGCGAAACGCGCGACGTACGGGATGCGAGACAAAAAGAGCCAATTCTTTCAGCTGATCGTGCCGACTCTACTTTTCTTGCTCGGTCTCCTCCTTCTCAGGAGCAGGTAACACTTGCGGTCCAAGTTTGCTGCGTGTTGAAAACGGAGCAAGTGAACCGCATTGACTCTCTCCGCTGCTTTTCGAGAAGGCCACCAATATATTGAACCATAGGACCGCGAGAGACTCACGGCGGCCATGTTCGTGTTGAGGGCTGGTTTTTGGGCTGATTAGTGCCATCACCGTGAGAGCGCCGACTTGGCATTGCCCGCGTTCGTGTTGCTCTTGATTCGATCCACCTTAAGTTCCTCTATAACATGGGCTTGAACGCGTGCCCTTGCGTACAGAAATCACAACCGTGGAAGCGTCACAGAGGTGAACATATGGGCGTGGGTAAACTGGATCGATTGCCTAATCCGTGCACGAGTTTCATCGTTGGCTACTTGTAAGGTTTCTTCCGACTTTGCTGTGACTGGCGTTGCTCTCACTCACGTATCTGCGTCACACGCAGCATTTTTGTATGCTACAAGTACTTTGTGCTTGTACATGAGTTGTACGTGAGAGGTCTTGACGTCTCGGCCGAATCGAACGGAATCTCCATTTGAGGTTTGCGCCGGCAGGAAGCGTGGGGTCGTTTTCGAATCGGACGAATTTATTTTGTGGGGACAGACCTACGAAACGTCTGGATAGGCCTCAACGCTTGGTGACCTAAGCTGGAAGAAATCTAACAAGGAGGCACACTCCATGAACGCGTAGGAAGTACTCACCCAGTTTGACCGTTATTTTCCTCCAGATTTTTACAAAAACGAGTGCGCAACGACCCCCCTCGACCCGCCCCGCGCCGCCGTCCGTTACAACCCATGCACCCCTGTAGTCGAAGCATGTTCGATCAGCCGTCACTGCTTCTTTCCCCGGCCACCAATTTCAACCCCGGGAAGCCTTCTAGAGTACGAAACCCGGTACCGATGGACGCTCCGGAAGACCCCGAATCGCTGGCGCGAAAAGTAGCAGACCGTTTCGACGGTATTTCTGTGGAGGGGACCTCCATTTTGCTCCCACCCGGAGAAGGCCCGTCAATAGAAGATCAGTTCGGGGGGTGCGCGCAGGGAGCGTCGCCCTTGGTGTACATGAGTGACTTCTTGCTGCAAGGGGCGGGTGCGGACGAGCAAGGGGCATCCAGGTGAGTGTCTGACTGCTTGTTTGCCGAGGTCTGGTCGATTTGTTAGTTTAGGTGCTTCAGGGGCTGGTACGTGGATGGAGTAGTCACACTGCTACTTAATGGCCGTCACTGTTTCTTGTGGTCCTCTGAAGTTGTCGTGTCCGTGCATACGTTCCGAAACGAAGCACGGTTTCCCGCACCTTGGTTTGTGGGCGTTGGTATCCTCAATACCCCCTGTTCCGGGTAATTCTCATTTGTTGCTTCGTTTTCTTGCGGGCGCAACAACCGCGGCCTGAGGGTTCCGTTGTCGAAACGCCCTTTCGCCCGACAGAAAATTATAGCGGTGGGCAATTGCCGTTCGAGAATAACCAGCATTCTTCTTACGGCTTTGTCCACACTCTATCGCCCTCACCCACTCGGTGTAGTTTTGTGGATCAGCCTTGTCCTTGGATGATGTTTTTTGTTGTCGCCTTGTCTTGCGGCGTGTGTTTCCATCGATTGGTGTGTACATGATCTCCACCGCAGGTACGGTGCGATCGTCCTGGACAACTCCTCTTGCCTACCCACGATGACACCACGGCAGCGGTTAGGCTTGAAAGAAGACCGCTACCTACACGGACTTTTCCAGAACCACAGCACTAACCACAGCGATGGCTCCCTGGCATACGGCGTCCTTATAAACGCTTCCGCTGTACACGCAGCTCCCATCTTCGTGAACCTCGTCAATTCTGCCGCGCTTCAGGCTGTCGTTGCTGATAGCGGTGACACTAAAGGGCGTGAAGGGGTTGCGGTAGGTGAGGAGAGGAGCGACGCAGGCGAGGAGAAAACTGCTGCCGCCGCCGCCGCCGCCGACACCGCCTTGCCGAGCATAACCATCAGGAGCAGTCCGTTGCCGCGGACCAGGGGGGAAGAGCTGGCTCGTCAGGTATTAAACTCGATCCTGGTTGTCATAGCGAATTTCAAGACTGCATGTTCGGCTAGACAGTTGCTTCCTTCCCTTCGTGGAATGATGCCGTGGAAACATCGTCCCAAAGATGTACCAGTAACTTATCATAGCCACATCGCGTCAGTTTCGCGTGCCACTGATGAAGACTGCATCAGGCACTGTGACTGCTTCGGATCAGTGGTTCCCGATGACATCGTTGTGTGTTGATTGTGCGTGTTTGTGCCGGTTGTTTTGATACTATCCACTGTTTCATGTCAGACTATCGACGGGTTCACCACGGCAATCATGGTGGTGATCTCCATATGCTTCCTACCAGCCTCATACGCCATCTTCGTGGTGAAGGAGAGGGCAGTGAAGGCTAAACACCAGCAGGCAAGCCAACCACTACTCAGTATGGTATGTGTTCCGCGTTCTGCATGGGTGGCCATGTTGAGGGTTTAAGTGGGATCCCGGCTCGTGATGAACTCGTGCGGTCCAGGCACGTTAGGTGCATGAATCTGTATGCATATGTATGTGTATGGTGCGACGAGAAAGGTCTTGAGAGATACCGTCGCAGGTGACAGGTCGCTAGGCAGTCTGTTGCCGATAAACCCTCGCGACAGGAATCCAACCCGCTCGCTTTCTGTGCTTGTTTTGAGCGTCGGGTATACCGGTGCACGGCATGCACGGAGTGAAAGCTGAAGCCGGAGGTGCTTACACTGTCCTTGCCAAAAAGTTGTACTCGATACGAACCGCAGCTCCATGACCGCCATGATCCGCTTTGACTTTGTTTTGCGTTCATCACCTGGACAACGTTGTGGCTGCGCAATACCGTCATTGCCAAGAATCTGTACGTGTATGCCCACTACGTGTTTGATGTTATCATACTCATGTTTGTGACCCGTTGGGTACTGCTACAGCGTGTACCATTGACCAGACTTGTGTCGCCAACAACTGATGTTGGTTCGAGCGCAAACCACAACGTACATGTCACAAAAACTGACGCTTCAAGTTGCTGCACACATCCCATAAACACCTCGTTTTTTATCAGATAATCTCCGGAGTAGGGATCGCAGCCTACTGGTCGAGCACGTTCGTGTTTGATGCGGTGACCTATCTCATCCCCTGCTCCGTATTCCTGGGCCTCCTCTACGCTTTCGGTATCGAGAGTGAGTCCGATTGGTTGTTGAGCTTTGAAGTGTATGGGCTGGTATTTTTTGAGAGTTGTGCTGATGGCACCTTGTAGCTAGACTTGATGGGAAGCATCCTTTTTGTCCCCCTTCCTGCACCTGGTTGTGCTCATTTCCAGTGTCTTGTCCGCGAAAGTACCAAACACATACTATTACCCATGTATTTGATTTTTGTTTTTTGGCCGTAAATATAGTGCTCTGATGTGTTTGTCTTGATCGCCTGGGTTGTTGTTGTCTTCGTACGATCGTCTCGTTGTGGGCATTATAGTGCTCTCGTCAGGACCAACGCACGGCATTGACAACATGTGTACTTATGTTGAGGTTAAAAAAGCACGAGACACGTCTCTCGGCGACTGGCTGCTTCTGCTCCTGCCGTAGCCGGTTGGGTAGAGGCATTCTTTCGCTTTTTTTTTTCGGTTATGAACGCTTTTTACCGTTTTCGTGCGCACTTCGTAGGTTATACCACTAACGAGTCTGCCGGCGCTACGGCTCTCCTCTTCCTGCTCTACGGTCCAGCTGTTGCACCTTTCACGTACTGCATCAGGTCTAGTGCTTCATCAGGACTTGAAGTGTTTTTGGCCCGTAACACAAGTCACGCAGTGGCAGCTGACCCGCTTTTTTTTTGTGAAAGTTTGGTTTACGTGTGTGTTTATTTCACCGCGGCGCAGGCTGTACATGTCTAACGTGTACTTTTCCATGCGACATGTGACACAGAAGTACGTGACGCGACCTTGTGTGACGTGAGTTGACTTCAGGCAATGGTTTTTCGGTAGCAGTATCGATTCGGGAAGACAAATAGTACACCACATTCTTGCGCCAGTGTGGCACGGGTGAATTGTGTATCGTAAGACCGCTTGCGCGGCTGAAGGGACTTGGAACGGCTCGAAGTTGGTACAGAACATGCCTCCCGCGATCACGAAGGTGCCACTAGCACTGAATTATTTTAGGGCACGTTTAGACGTACGTGAAGTGGGCCCTCGAGCATCGTGTCAGCATTCCGGTGACACACCCGTTTTCAACACCTTTGTCGATATGTCGTCGATATGTCCCGTATGTTAAAAAATACTGTCGGAGTCAATTTTCCGTTGTTTCTTTTTTTTCAATTTGTTTCTTTGTCCCATGAAGCTTCTTCTTCAAGTCGGCGTCCTCTGCCCAAAACATGGTCCTGTTCATTAACTTCGTGACCGGTCTGGCTCTAATGGTGACATCCTTCGTGCTGAACCTCGTTGAGAGCACGAGGGATACCAACGCCAGCTTGAAGTGGATCTACCGACTTTTCCCAGGGTGAGTTCCGAACTGTAGAGATCCCACTAAAGTTATTTAAAACTCGAAAAAATGCATGAAACCAGTGGAAGAGCCCGGAAAGTGGATGAATCGAGTTGCATGTAGGAGGGGACTTTCTGGCAACAATGCATGAATCGTGAGCAAAAATATGTTTGGGGCTCCAGAGCTCCAAGTATATACTTGTGTTCCGTGACGAATAGACTGCCCTTTTTGTCCCCCTCTCTCCCTCTCCTCTCTCCTCGCTTGTGCAGCAACACCACAGCCATCACAACAGCGAAGACGCTACACACAGTCATAACAACGCCGCCACCACCGCCAGCCCCCAACCAAGCTTTCGGGCACTGCCCGCACGATTTTTTGTTGTGCCGCATGCATATCAACGCGTACGTGAGGTCGCTGCATGCTGCTGCACTCTCTCTTTTTCCCTCTGACCTCCTCTCTCGTCGTGCTCCTTTTTATTTCTCGCTTTCTCTGGTGCTGCCATCGCACGCAAGCACAGACGAATTAACGAACAGCCACAGTTCCACAAGGCTCGCCGTGTAGCTTATGGGCTGCCCCGTTACTTTTGTAGGGGGGGAGGCGGCCCTTCCTAGTCGAGACGGCGGGGAGGCTGTAGGTTGTTGTTGCCGTTGATGAACAGAAAGGGTGTGCGTATTAGAGTGCGTATGCCTGTCTGCCTGTCTGTTGTACTTCTCTCTCGTTTTCTCTTCGGCACAGAAAAAAAAAAAGAAGGACCAACGGTTTGTTATCATCAACATGCGCGGAGTGCCAACAAACAGAGCGTCAGCTACCGTGGGTTGGGGGCGCTCTTGGCAGAGACGAACGCGCCTTGTCCGCTATTCGTTCACTTCGTAAGGGTGTTTAATATTCGTATCACCTTGAAAAATGGCACTCTGATTCGCTTGCTGCTTGTTTCCGGTTGATCGAATTTGGCTGGACCACAAGGGCAACCCACCTGCCCAACACCAGCAATCCGAGGATGTATTGGCGCAGACTAACAGTCCTGTGTTTTTATCCGGTGCAGATCTATTCTCGAGTTTTATATCACGAGAGTTTTTTACCAAAAATGCACAAAGTAGCGAAAGGCCCCAAAAAGTCCCGCCGGTCCATGAATCAAGTTTTAAGTAAGTCTATTACGAATATCTGCTTTGCGTCGCGTCCCCGCGTGCGTGGAATGCCTGTCCCAGAAAATCCAAACGTATGGTTTATTTAGGTTTGGTTGCGCTTGAGAATGATCGACGCCCGGAAGTCTCCTGTGTTGTTCCGTCCTATTCATTTTGGCGATGTATAGGGAAATGTTTCAGGACCAATGTACCGTAGTTTTTATGTGTAAGACATCGCACCACCTTCGAAAAGTTACGCAAATCCATCCGTGTGCTTTTATCCCGGAAGAATTTGCGATTTGATCACACGTCGACGTTCAGATATGCATGGCATGCCTTTTTTGGTCGAGCCGCATGTAGCCTACGAGCCCCCATGACACGGTGTGTAACTGATAACTAGTGATCACAAGCAAAACAAAAGAAAGACAACTGCACGCGCCACAGCCGGGGATCCAGTTTGCAACCCTGCTGAACGCCCTGCGGCCCAGTCTGCAGTACGTCAGACTCTAGCCGCGGTTCCACGCCCCACAACGTCACTTATTTTTCAACGCGGCGGGAGAACGTGAGCTCGTGGTATCGATCTATGCATACCTTGGTCGAGTAAACCATAGCATGCCGGGTCCACATCGAGCTCCACGCTTTGTGTATAGTGTTTCATTTGTACGGGCAGATCGTCTCGGGATGTTGCTGTTGGCATTTGCTTGTGTCCTACTTTGTTCCAGCTTGAGTGATCGTTGCAAGCCCGACATGATGTTGGTGCTGCCGTTTTGCACACACAAAATATCTACCCAATCGCGATGGAGTGCCAACGGTACACGTTTATTCGTGTTCGCTGTTTTTTATGAGAAACATTAGAATGGGCAGTAGTACAACGTGATGAAAAGGAGCTTTTGTCGCACTGGCTATCACCCCCCCCCCCCCCCCCCCCCCCCCCCCCCCCCCCCCCCCCCCCCCCCCCCNTTCCCCCTTTGAGCGCGCTTCATCCCACTGGGGACGTTATCAACCCCCATCGCTATCACACTCCCTTCCCTGTTTACTCACGTGCTGTGGGTAGGGTTCTTTTGAGCGCACTTCATTACGGGGACGTTGCTATTGCTCTCACACGGTATTTCTACTCGTAGATTATTTGTTGTGAGACGTTGTTGACTTGAGTTTCTCCGAGACTTGGCCACGTTGTGTCAAGGAATGATGTGCGTGCCAAGGATGTGGTGCTCTTGACTTCTTGGTTGTGCCTTTTTACACCTTAGGATGAAGGTGGCCCCGGCCTTGTTGGAGAATTCACGGCAAGACCCCCCGGATTCGTTGAGGTGCAATATTGTATGAACTCTTCAGTTTGGTTTTGCTTTGCCGTTTGCACCTGTGGTTTGGTTCCTGAGCTGTCGTTGTAACTGTTGTCATACTCCCAACTAATCTCGCCCCTTGCCTACAAATACGCGATACGCTGTGTACCGTCGAAAGAAGGAACAGCAAAAATTTTTTCCTCAGTAGCGACGTGCACCATTTGCGAACATACAGATCATCCCCCAACGTCAAATCCAGTGGCATCTACATATCTTCCCTTTTTTCGTCGTTCTTATTTCATTGTGTGGAAGATCACAGCAAATATTGTCTTGGGTGGTGGGTGCCTTCGGTTTCATTCCACTTTTTGTTATCCATGGCAGATTTTGTCTGGGCGACGGGTTGGCGCAGCTGGTTCTCTGCGAAAATGGTAAGACGTGTGTGGATGTGCTTAGCCTGGGGAGAGATCGTGTGCCGAAGGAGCTGACCCCGTTCTCGACGATCATCACAGGAGCGGACATCGCATGTTTGATGGCTTCCTGCGTGGGTGAGGAACACCAAAAATTATGGTTTGACTTGTTCGAGTTTTTTTTTTCGGGGTTTGCGTACCCTTTTCCACAAGATGTTCGGCTTGAACACTAGCAGTTTTTTTGTTTTGCAGATGCGACGGTCTACCTCTTGGAAAAATCGCTGCGCGGTCGTTGACAATTCGGCGTGGATGGCAACGCCGACGGTTGAAGCCTCATCCTATCCTCGACTGTTGGGTCTTACGACTATGGCGCACTCATACTTTGTTGTGTTGAGAATTGTTCCGCCTCTGCCACTACAGTGACGATCGCAACGTGTTGGTGGCGTATTTCGTGGTTTGAGGTTATGTTATGGCCCATTATCGCACGGTCATATGCTCTGATGTGGGGCACCCGTCTTCAAACACGATCTGCATTGAAACGTGGAACGGAGTGACAATTAGCACAGATAAGACGTAAATCGGCAAATGATTGACTCCGGCAGGGTACCTGGTGATCTGTTTGGCAATAGAGTACGGCCAGACGTCCCCCAAGCTACTCGGCTGGTTGAGGCCGGACCCGAAAACCGATCGACACTCCGACACTGATCCCGAAGAGGATGACGAGGATGTGGCGGCGGAGGCTAGGCGGGTGGAAGAGATGGAAGGCGTGCTGAGGGACGGGGAAGGGGGTGGTGAGGTGATTCTGAACAACCTGCGGAAGGTCTACAGGACCAAGCAGGCGAGTGAATGGCGGATTGATGTTGTTCTTGTTAAGGGTGTTTGGGTATTGTTTCTGATGATATGAAATGTTCTTGAATACAGTGAACTGGACCTGACTGCAATAGCGGCGTGGATTCGTAGTCCGTTAACTACCCTAACCCAGCAAGCTGCGGAAAAGGGCAAGAAACCTGACGTGATGTTTTGTGCCCGACGTCCAAATCGTCGGTTTAAAACATGAAGCACCGCGTGAAAGTAGCAACAGATGCAATCGGTTCCTGAAATAACGGTTGCCATGCGTAGCGCCCTGCTGGCGCTGTGCTGTGCTATGCTATTGAGGGCAGGATTTCTCGCGGACGAGTCACGGAGTTACTTTAGGCACTTTGAGTTTTCGCTCACGATGCTGTCATGTTTTCCACAGGGACCCAAGGTGGCAGTGCAGGGGCTCAGCTTCTCCGTGGCGAGGGGCGACTGCTTCGGATTTCTCGGAATCAACGGTGCAGGCGAGCAACCCAACGCTCACACAAGCAAAGAGTCCACACATGTGGACAAGATGTTTAGCGCTCGAAAACGCGGACGATCCGGGAACGCCGGGCGGCAGTACCCTGCATGGAGACGTTCTTTTTTGTGCCAGCTCAGCGATCCAATTCCATCACGTGAATATCTTTTGCGGGGTAGGTGTGTTGCAAGTGTTCACGTTGCCTCGGCGAAAGAGTCTCCAGTTTTTTTTTTGTTTTTTCACGACTGCCGAGAAACGAGGCTGCAAACTTCATTCTGCCGAAGCGGACCGTGCGGTTGTGCGTGTTTCGTGTGCCGACTCATCAGGAAAAAGCACAACGCTCGGCATCCTCTCCGGAGACATCTGTCCCACTCGTGGGAAGGCATCCATCGCAGGCCACGACATTCTCACGGAGCAGGTGACTGCCGGCACAAAAAGCGATTTCCCCCTTTCTGTTTTGGTGTTTCTGAAGCGTTTTCTGCCATGCTCTCACATTTCCGTAGCGAGCACCCCACGCAACCCAACTTGGTTTCTCGGCGTCATGGGTATCACGTGGAAGTTTGCCCTTCTCGACCGACACGAACAAGCCGAAAATATTCTTGCGCCCCACTAACTTTTCTCCATCAATGTGCCGATGTTTGGGCGCGCTGTGCGTTGTATGGCCATGGTGGGTGGTGCACACGAAAAACCTTCCCCTTGTTTCATGTATCGGCAGCACACAATCGTGTCATCTGTGGGGGTTGTGGCCAGGTAGATCCATCTCGCCAAACCTAATTCGCATAGATTCTGAAGTTGTGAAATACTACGGGCAACACGGCTGGCGGTTTAGCGAACACCTTGGCCTAGCTCGGAACAAGCCTTCAGTAGTAGTCTGATTCACACCGACGAGTTGTGTACATATTCATGCTGATTTGGGTCTAGTCGTTGACGTTGCTGATCGCTGCTGTCTTAAATGGTGTCGAACAGAACCAACTCCGTCGGTATATCGGCTACTGCCCTCAAGATGACGCCTTGCTGGATCTTCTGACGGTGAGTTGAGAAATGGGCGGACATGATCCAGAGTTACGGCGCGATGCTAGCGACGATTGTCTTCGTGGTGTCGGTGTTTGATTTGAACCAAAGATTCCCCCACGCGAATGTACTACCGCAGATCACATGTAAGCCCCTCCAGGAAAGCAGACCCCGGTGACAAGAGTTTTTGAACTCCTAGCGTGATGAGCGATTGTGATTTAACACACGGGTCACGTTCGATGGCACCCCCCCGAAGTTGCAACGCTTTCTAAGCCGGAGCTCCTGGGCATTCCCCGGGTAACAACCAGGAGGTGATCACACACACACACACACACACCGAGAACGACGTGCAGGATGCAGGGTGCCCAAAGCCTACCATAACTACCAGCGGCAGTATGGAGCAGACCACCGACAGTACGGAGAGGTAGTAGCACAGCCTCTCAAGCACCTTCGCGGCTCGTGCAGTGGCTCCTCCAAACTCCATCACTGGGGTTTGGCGAAGCAGCACACAACGCTTACCTCTTGTGTCAACGCCTGCTAAGGCCCGCGCAGCACCCACCGGTTCTGCGGGAGCGGCATGTGCAGGAGAAAGCACCACATCATATCACAACAACCGACCGCTGCCCCTTGCCGGTACAAATACCATTCTTGGAAAGGTTACCACCGCACATCCTGTCCTTGTCACACCCCGTTTACTGCCAACAACTAGGAAAAGCAGTCTTGGGGGGGGAATACGGCAGCATCTCCTTTGCGATCACCCCCTTGTTGTCGCGATCTCTTTGCTGTCAGCAATGGTGTTGGATAGCAATCGCTGTGTCAAACACCGTTGCTACGACACACCGGTGCTATTACACATCCGTGATTACTGGCGGCGAGCGCGCGGCAGGTTATGTTGTCCGGGGGGTCGAATTTGAAATCGCACCCCGGTGATATCTGTCCAAGAAACTTCCCGAAAGGTATTTTCATAATTCCCAGCATGTCATCACCGGAACGTGGTTTCTTTTGCGATCTTCGATAGTCCGAGCAATAGTCAAGGCCGATGTTGCTTCAGTAGCGGATGGTGGCTCCTCCTATGATGCGACGTTATTATTGTCGCCAAGCATTAGCAGAGACGATGACCCCTCTCGTTTTTCCCCTGGGGATCATGTGAAGCCGAAGCAAGTTTTTTTTGTTCTTTCGTACAGCAAACCGCGCGATGGCGATGCTAGCATATTCCCGACGTTGGTTTTTCGTCTTTATGACCTAGGTGGAGGAGCACTTGCTTCTATACGCGCGGATCAAGGGTGTCAACGAGAACCGGATAGGGCATGTGGCCGGCGAGAAGATGCAGCAGATGGACCTGACGCCGTTCCGCGAGACGAAGGTAACGAGTAGACGAGTAGGCCACACCCACATCATTCAGTTCCCGTCGGAGAAGGCCAATCGTACGAAGTGTATGTATTGTACTCTTTGTATTGAGTCCAGCCTGTCTCACTCTGTTCGGCCGTTTCGGTTGCGGGCGCAACCATCGCAGGCGTTCGAGCTTAGTGGAGGAAACAAGCGCAAGCTCTCGGTGGCAATCGCCATGATCGGAGACCCCAGGGTCGTGTTCTTGGATGTGAGTACACTGCCAAGGGTGTGAGTACACTGGATAGGCATTCTCATGTGGTCCTTTGTACTTTTATTGCCTGCAATGGTCGTATGTGTCCACTCCTGGGCAGGGGTGTAGCGGTCCAGGCACAACTTGGTGTGCCCAAACGCCGTGGTGTCTTTTATGTACTCAAGGGGCACAGTTACAGTATGATGCACAGTTTCCGTGTGCCTTTTTGTACTGTGGTGGGTCCCGATTTGTGCAGGCGATGGCTCAATAACTTTTGTCCTTGCAACATCGGGACCCATGGGGTGGCAATCCCAGGTTGCGATTCGCTCTCTTGTCGACTGGCTGCCGGGTACAGCGATATTGACGAGAGACAGACAGAAGCACCGCCGTGGTCGTATCGGTACAAACCATATCCCTAGCATATGTTTTGGGGCGATGGACCGAATCGGCATGTCCAGAATAAGCCACTCGATCCGTGAGAGTGTTGGCAGTGTCGCCAGACAACGTGTTGTCGCACAATGTCACACGATATATCACCATGATGTCGCACCGCAGGAGCCATCCACGGGAATGGACCCCATCGCGAGACGCTTCATGTGGGACATCATCAGCCGGATGACCACCACCGACAGAGAGTGCTCCGTGATTCTGACGACACATAGCATGGAAGAAGCCGAAAGTCTCTGCAACAACATCGGCATCATGGTAAGGAAGGGGCTTTGCACGGCTGTCCATAGGTCTTTGTTTCCCTCGGCACCGTTGATCAGTCACGGCTTAAAGCGATTTTCTCGATTTTCGTACCACAGTGAAGTGTGCTTGCTGCCATCGATGGGGTGATGCTGGTTAGGAGGTTCATGTTCGGGCGATGCCAGTATGACATGGAGAGCAAGTTCTGCTCCGGAATATTGTGCTCGAGCAAAGTTTCGAAGAAGCCTCCCCCGCTCGTGTACCCAGGTCGGCATCAAAGGTGGCAAGTCTTGTGAAGCTTACGGGCGGATGTTATTGCGACTGCGGTACGTTTCGTCATTACTTTGACTTTGTGTGTGGACAGGGCATACGTGGTGGAGTGGTTATTTTGACTCAATCTAGTTCTTTCCACTTTCCGACGCTCAACAAGCAGAACCCAGTGCCTAGACGCGAAGTGACTACGCTCGCGCTACTCTCCAGTCAAGACGTTTTCGATACAATTTCGGCGGGCTCGCGCCAGGACCCCTGTCGCCTCTCTCTTTTCCCTGCGCCGACGGGGACCGTTCTCTCCGCACCGTCGCGGGTCCAGGCGACAATCGGCAGCCTAGACTTCAGCACCGCCAAGACTGCTGCAGACGCCGTCGTCGCACCTGCATCTACAAGATCTACCCGGAACTGTCACCCTCTTGGGGACATGTGTCGTCACCACTCACTAGTGCTCACCACATGAAGTGTGCGCGGGCATGGGGCCAATCGTTTCTTCCTTACTTGAGAAGGACACAGCTTGCTTGAATCTGAGTGAGAATAACAAACACTGGCTCTCGGAACATTTACCTATGTACATTGTAGCACTGGGGGAGCACAGCATGTGTGCGAAGCACGTTGTTGGTGCTGCGGTAGTGCCAATCGAACTTGCCAAAGTTTCACACAGGCACAGACACACATCGTTGGGATGTCGTGTGAATGTGTGCTCCAGGTTTCTTCAGAGCAATTTGCAGGAGCATGACGCACGCTCCAATCTTTATACTTCGAAAGTGCACCTATCGTCATTTCTGCTGATATGCCGCCACACTCCGCAATGTACACTGAGATATCACACGGTTGCCCGCAATCTTCAGTGATTTCCACTTGGTATGCAGTCTATATACGTATATATGCATATGTGGAACGCATCCTATACTCCGAGGACTGGGCCCCGCTCGTCGACCGTCGTACTTGTTAAGTGGTGTCAGTTGCTGCGCTAATGTTGGTCGGAAATTGACATCTCTCCAGCGGCCCACGGCGAACTGAATCGGCTGCTCTTTTTCTTCGCTTTCCTCTATTGGGTAGGGCTGTCTATGAACAGGCGGTGTTGTACAGTGAAACCTTCGAGTGTAGCACAAAGAAGTCGTTGCTCTCATCGCCGAAACCGATCACTGTTCGTACGTGCACAAGTTGTACGCTTGTGCATACCTGACGCAGCTGTCCTCCCTCAGTCGCAACGGCGGACAGTGGGATGGTTATCGGGGTAAAAGTTAAAACAGAGACTTGGGGCATGGCTGTCGGCGTGTGGTACCTTTCCTTGTTTGGATGACATACGGGATTACCCCACACCAAGTTCATCACCTCCTGTCTGCTTCGCCAATGTTCCTATCCGAAAAACAGGTGAATGGGCGGCTGCGATGTCTCGGGTCCACACAGCACCTCAAGCACCGGTTCGGGAGCGGCTTCGAAGCCGACATGAAGTTGCAGCCGCCGTCGACTGCTGCGGCCACAGAGGTCATGCAGCTCTTGATGGCGCATGGCGTCGCAAACATAATTGGTGACGATATCGACAGGTATTCCATCTCGAACATTTTCTGTTGTGATCTGATCCATGTATTGAAATTTTATTGACGTACTGTAGAAATTCTCGGATGTGGGAGGACGAGTCTTTGCAAGCTTGGGCACTCGGGGCAATTCCGGACAGTAGGATCAATAGTTGACGAAAGTTTGATGCTCCGTATTTCTGCAGACTGTCCGCGCCCAAGGCGTCATTCACGTGAATGGAAGATATGTTTGATGGAGATTTTGGGCTGCCGTCACGGCTAGAGGGTTTGCGGTAAGAGTCGGGGATATGGCACCCCCGTGTTGGCGTTCTTGTATAGCGTATTTCTCCACAACCAGGAGGGTACCACTGCCGAAAGGTTAGTTTTGGAAACATCTCGTCGAGGGCTTTCCTGAGAGGTATCGGTTGGTGTTCGCACCCTCCTAGTTGTGGAGAAATGCGCTACAACAAAACGCTAACACCGGGGTGCCATCTCTCCGATTCTTACGGTATATGGGTGCTGAACACACGCTTCTCAAGCACCGGTTCCTTTCTGTGATTGGCCGAGGGACGGGTTGGAGTTGGGGAACTTTGGTTGTTTTCGCCAGGGTCAGTGTCCAAGCTGCTTGGACACACTTGGACACTTGTGGCAAGTGTTTTGAAGTCTATCACGCATCCCGCTGCCCATCAAACTGCGTCCGTTGCCTGCTCGTGTGGTTGATGTTTGATGACGCAGCTCGAGATTGTGGGGCCCTCTGGATATTTGCTGTGATGGACTGGCGAGAGGAGATTTTGACAGGTATGGATCAATAGATGTCGATCATAGACGGGTGATCTCGAGCGGGTTGCGACCATACCCCAGGATGTTCATGTTCTGTTCTTGTCGTACCGTATGCGTCTACGAACACCGATTTAGTATCTGGTATCTGTGGTCGGGCGTCGCATGATTGATTTCGAAGAGAGCTGTTGCAAAATCGACTGAATTTCATCCAGGTGGGACCAACATCCCTCCAGCTACACCCTTTGGTTATCTTATGCAACCGCTGGTACTTGCTTTGGTCAATTGGCACACACTAGACGTGGCCGTTGACAACGCGCCGTGTTGTGCAGGTATCTAGGTGCGGTTCTTTAACATGCACGTGACCTGTTTCAATTCGGCTTTGGCAGAGCTGAGGCTTTGGAAACTGCTCTAAAATGCGGGAGTGGTGCGTTTCTCCAAGACGTGCTTGGCTCGGAAGGAGGAACCTTGCCTACCAGGTGCGCTGGCGGGAGTGCGTTGTGCCCGTTTTCCTATTTCGCTCCGGCGGTGCCGCCAGTGCAGATTAATTTCTGCGTAGGTCTGATGCGGTCATACATCCAACGAGATCACTACGGTTGTGCACTACAATGCATCGTTCGCCCCGTCCCTGACCTTCCGCTGACCCATCTTGTTTTTCGGCGGTGTTCGGTATTGTTTGAAAATAAGGCTGTTCATCGACTGGTATCTCTGCGAGCAGAGGGCTGACAACCTTAACGATTTCTTGGAGGAGACCTTTCCAGGAGCAGGTACGATCGTGATATGAAAAAGCATAAAACGAACCCGTAGCCGCAACCCCGAATGCATTTAAAACTTTAAAATCGTGTCTGACTTCTACCCAGGTTATTCGCCGTGCTGGTTTTCCCGGCTATTGCTGTCAACAATGGCAATGTTGACCAAGGCACCTTCCACCGAGTCGGCTGATGTCGATTGTTTCATTCCATAGGTTGGTGCCAAAGCTATTGCCCGACACGTGCTTACGCTTGGCCCCGATGGCATGTATCTCGGGGACGCATCTGGTGTCGTCTACGTGCTCATTGGTCCTTGTTTTTTTCCGGTCCATACCTTGTTTTCGTTGATGCAGAACTGGTCGAGAGGCCGACTTTGTTTTCATGCCGGTACAAGATTCCTTACCAGGATGGGATGAAACTTGCAGACGTCTTCGAACATTTCGAAGCTGCCAAGGCCAAGGTGCGACTGCTCTGACAGAGACAAGTCGGAATGGTGTTGTTGTTTACGCCCGGCCGCGATTCCTCTCCCACGCACGGTACTAAAAATGGCCTTCCCGTTCTAGTGATGACGGCCTTTTGCATGTGCACAGCGGTCAGACCTCGAGATTATTATTTGTCAAGCCAAAAAGTGTTCCTGGTCGTTGGCCGAATATATTTTTCCGATTTCAAATATTCACTCAACGCTCCTAAAACAGGCAACTCGATGCCAAAACTCTGCAAAGCACAACTCGACTTGTCAACAATACCAAGCCGTACGAAGTGCACTGCTCACGGTACATAGCCACCAGACCACCAGCAGAGTATCATGTAGTCTACACTGCGCTGGTGGGTCGGGGGCACGTTTGAAGGGTTATGTTTAGTTTCTAAAAAGCCGTCAATTGGAGCAACAGCACGTGCATTTGTATGCTTTGACAGCGGCAGTAGAGTAGGAACATATCGATGCAATGTACGATTTAACAGACAAAAAAAATAACCGGTGTCAGCAGAGGCCGTTCTTGGCGTTGTTTCTATCCGCTCTGCCGCCGCCAAAAGCCGTCGCATGACGTCTCGAGATTACTCTCCTCTAGCCCCACTCACACTGTTTCTCGGAAGCTCTGTACTTTGTTCGCCCCAGCTGAGTTAGTCTCAAAACACGCGCGAGCGTGGCGCACCTTGAAGTTTGAGCCTGGAACCCGTTCATGTGTCAAGTCAGCTCCAAACCTGCTAAAAACCGCTACCAAAACACTCACAAACACCTATCGGGACCCATTCATTTAGGACGAAGGAAGTTGAGAGCTCACGGGAATCAGTTTGAGCAAGGCTGGCGGCGTATGTGCTCAGGATTGCTTGTAGCAGCTTGTGGACTGCGGGAGACGGATGAACAACGCTCGAACATGTGTCGTTTTTCGGCGTTTTTGTTTGTGGATTTTCAGTATGTGTCATGTGCCCCTGTTTTCAAGCAACACATGTCGACACCGCTTGGCCGCGGTTGCCATGTCAGTCTCTTAAGCGTGGGCTTCGCACTCTGGCACCACACGAAGGTAGTCGTTGTCGTCGAGAGCCTTCGTGCGCATGTCGAATCGGGTCTCTGATGCGGTCCGAAAAGGCACCGAGAACCAGCGAGTTCTTGAAAGAACTCTACGGTTTTTTTTTCGATCATGGTTTTCTTTGGTGATCGCCTCCTATATTGTTGCCCACGAGAGGTTCAATGAAAGCAGCTGCTCCTCAACCGCAACGCCTTGGGTCGGGGTAAATTTTTTTGCGTTGTGTGCGCAGAAACCAAAACTATTAACCACCAAGAATCGGTTTTCGAAAATAGGAGAGAAAAGCCAAGTTGAGAGCCGAAGCACTCAACATGCCATTTGTTCTGAGCCCTCAAGAGTGCGGAGGAAGAATATGCGCTTGATGAATGATTCCAATCCGAATAGGATTGGAACCTGCTGTGGAACAAAGAAACCTGAAAGGATTCTTGTCCGCGGTATTCGTATGTTTGTTTGAGCCCTTTTTTGACGTTGCCGATTTCTCTCAGCTCGCGGAAACTGCGCACAAAATCGCGGCGGTGCCTTGGAGCGACCATCGCCTGGACGACCGTGTCCAAGGAATTTAAATCGAAGCCACACCAGCATCCCATTGAGATATTTTTGATGTCTCGGCTTTTCTCTCTTTTTCGTCGCGGCCGAATTCTCCGAGCTCAACAAAGATACGACGATGAGGTTCACAGCACTGCCTCTGGACAGCCCAGTCGCCGCCAAATCAACAACGTTTCGCCTCGCATCGCAGGCGAAGCAGTGGAACAGTCCAAGTAACCAGCTCGTCACAAGTGCCGCGCGCCTGGAGGTCAAATCCACGTTTGTTTCCCCCCACGATGCTCTCCACAACCGGTCAATACACAGCCCCATGCTAGTGACGGTTCGATGGGCTATTAATAGGACAGAATAGGGGTACCCCGCGAGCCTCGACAACGCTGGTGCCGAGCAAAGCGCACACGCTTTCAAAAAGCGTTTGGGTCAAATCGGGCTGCTATTCCGCCGCCCGCGTCGGACTCAACCGTTAGTTTCCAGCATGGACAACTCCCCAGCCTGCTCACCTACGTCAACCAAACTTTGAGTGTCAGCGATGACCCGGTAGACACAACAGTGGGCCAAGTTTTAAAACCACCCGATCTACACGCCGCATGTGACAGCACATTTCGCCTCCTGTCGGGCGACCTCGACTGCCAGCAACAATCAGACCGTAATTTCTCAATATGTACTCATCCCCTCGTCACAGATCTTACATCGATGTGGAGCTAGAACTACACTGTGTTCACTGCCCATGTCCTTAGTGCATCTCCCTGGTCGGATCACGACCTACAAGCAAGCGTTGTGCTCGCGGGAAGTGCAGACTGCAACGCATGGACCGAAAGGGGTATCGGTTCCCCGTCACGCGCCCCCGCCAGCCGTTGTCGTCTGCTTTCTTGCCCCATCTGCAACACCTCCTTCGGAAACGCTGCAACGGGCATGTCGGCATTATTTGGCTGTCAATTGGCGAAGTTAGCAGCACCGAAAACGAGGCTACGTGCGTATCCCTTCACATTGGGCTGTCGACGCTTGTAGGCAACGAAAACAGATGTATCGAAGCACAGCATCAACAACCTATGTTGTTCGCCTGTTTTTTTGTTTTCGCCACGTTTTTGCATGTCGTCTCCACCTCGCCCGCCTTCGGTAAGACATCATGTTGCCATACAGCAGTCCCCCCCGCATCTAGTTGGGTGCATACAGTGTTGGTCTTATTACTTATTACAGCTCTAGCGTGTCGGGTAGTCTTCAATCGCTTCCGTCTGACGTAGCTTTTTCTGGCACACCGACAAGTTTTTTTTTCGGTGAAGCCGTTTAAGAAATACTGATATTTAAACCTGTGGCACATGGAACACGTCACCCCTTCCACACATGACCGCTGTGGTTGGCGCTGATTCGTGTAGTGGACTACTGGGGGCCTTTCTTGCATTTGCGATATCCAACAGGACGACCCCGCGACAGAAGCGTATAGACCAATGCACCGTTTACTGGAACAGATCGCTCTATCGATACTACTGCTGCTGCCCATGTCTCCAACCGACCACACTGCTGTACTGAGGCAACTTGAATCATCATCAGCGAGCATTTTTCGGATATTTGTCTCTTTCCGTCGATGAAACCACCGCCAAACATGCAACCTCATATTGTGGTGCAGCGCATCCTCTCTGCATTACCGCTGTGCTGAATCACACTGTGGACTGTCGGTGACCTTCCATGCGTTTGCGGTACCCAAGAGGACGACCCCCTGACAGAGTCGTATGTTTAGTGCTGTACTGGAACAAACCGCGCTATCGATACTGCTTGCTGCTGGACATACATGCAGCTCCGCCGCGGATACGTATGTAAAAGAAGATGTGCTCAGATCCGCTGCTCCTACTATGAAATTACTACTGTACTGTCTGTATGATGCACGAGAGGACCATGCTGCCACCAAACGACACGATCACAAGATAGGCACACGGCCTGAACGTTCCGCCGAGGCGAACGCCCATCTACTAGCTTGGCCAAAATTCTACGCCAAAACTGCGGTGGGCACACATCAAGTAAGTAATAGAGTCATCGCCAGGTAGTTGACGGCAGACAAGCTCGTTCATCTGCAAATCGGGCGAGTGTCGTTGCTGCCGCAGCACGCCTGGTGACTCCCGCAAGTAGTTCGGCAAAAGCCGCACAGACTGTTCGGGCAAGCTATGTCTTGCACCGTTTGATGTGGAGCACACTTGGTTCTATGTAACCACGCAAGCTCACAGGAAAGTGGACCTCGAATTGGAGGCAGCCCTGCGTGAGCAGGGCATTTCACCGGGTATACAAGGCGTTCCTCCGGGGTGGGGCAAAGATAGCACCGCGACAGGGGGTGATGAAAGAACATGCAAAGAGCAAACAAAGATATTTTTTTATTGTAGATTATGTTGGCATTCCGTTCCCTCCACACTCACTCCACATTTATTTGCCTCTTTCTGATGCTGCGTCTCCCAGCGCCGCGGATTCCAGGCCGCCAAATGACTTGAAATTCATCAGAGCCGTATTGTCGCCCAGGACACGCACACACACACACCGTCGTCATAGGCGGGCGGAGAAGCGTTGTATTCGCGCGTGTAGCGTGCAAACAGTATGTTGTAGAGCAGTGACCGTGACGTCATGGGGTGTGTCGCACATTCCGGAGAGAAGAGGTGACACATGCCGAAGAAAAGAGGTCACACATGGCGAAGAAAAGAGGTGATACATGCCGAAGAAAATGGATGAATGCATGTGAAGGTGGGACGGATCGAATGAATCCAGACAGGAACAGCCCGCGTGTTGTGTGTTTTCAAATATTCAAAGAAAGATGGATAAAAGAAAGCACACAAAAGCCACACCATCGCGTACTCCGCCGTACATAACACGCATGTAAATACTGCACCCAACACGACGGGGGTTTACTTTCTAAAAATCAAACAGGCGGAAAAATATTTCGAAACGGGCTCACGTCCTCAGCGACCTGGGCGCAGAACTATTTTGTGACTATATATGTTCTACGTTCATACAACGCCGTTTTATGTTCGGTCCAACGTTCCGACTTAGTATGTACCACAGCATTTTCTTGCCTCCGCCTCACGAACGGTGAGAGCCAGGGAGGAGGTGTAACAATGAGCAGCCAAGACCCAAGCAGCAGAATAAAATAATAGCAGCAGCAGCACAGCGGCACAAAGGTCTGGGAGTCGACGATAGCAGCAGAAAAGAGAGAAGTCTAACGAACAAGCGGCGGGAGTTGTTCTGAGTTGAAGAGAGGGCAAATGGGACCGACCGATAAACAGCTAACCTCGCACCATCAATCAGCCGGGCTTCGAGCCACAACACCGTCCCACCTCTTAGATTGCTACAGTACTTGAATGGCCTACCCGCTTTCCTACGCGGTTCAGACCTTTCTCGCGAGCGGGCGTGTTGGTTGATCCTCCAGCGTGCACCAAGCGCAACCACCGAGTACAGACGTGTGCGTGCGTTTTCGAAACTGCTGTATACGGATACCTGTGACCAAGTAGGGTGTCCTTCGCCGTTCTACCCGCTACTGCTGTGCTAGAAAGTAGAAAAGAACGTTATCGCTGCTTTGAAGAACATGAAAGACTCGCCAAGGCAAACAGCCGCCTGGAAACAGAAGGGAAAAGAACACCCGAATTGCCTCCACTGCTATCGACCAGCTGACACAAATGTATAACTGTCCATATTCTATCGTGTAGGTGTCGCAAACTTCACGAGTAAACTCTCCACCTGGAACCAGAAGCACAGTCCCTGTTCCTTGTCTTTGTCCAAGTCCATGGAGATTCGACCACCGAGTGAAAAATGACGAACTTGGGTGGTTGTTACGCCGTTTTTACTGGTCGGTAGAGATGCAATCTCGAGGTCTTCTCCATTTTAGTCATTGGTATTTCAATTTCAACCTTGGTGTTTGACATTGGGCCGTTTGTGCGGATCGCTGATCCCATGTCTTGCGTTTTGAGACACCGCACTGCAAGCACGTCCGTGACCAACTACTAGCACACAACTGCGTGAGCGGGCAATTTATAGTCTAATCTATCGTGTAGGTGTCGCAAAGTTTCACGAGTAAACTCTACACCTGCAGCTCGAACCACAGTCTCCCTGTTCCTTGTCTTTGTGCAAGTAAATGAAATTCTACGACCGAGTGAACAATTACAAAATTGTCCGGTCGTTGCGCCGTTTTTCTGGTTGGTAGAAGTGTAATCTCGAGGTCATCTCTAATTTGGTCATTGGAATTTCAACCATGGTGTTTATCATTCGGCCGTTTTGCGGGATCCCTGATCCCATGGCTTGAGTTTTCGACACACCGCAATGCAAGCACGTCCGTGACCAACTACTAGCACACAGTTGCATTTCAATAACAAGGAACCGTCTCCGAGGTGTCCTGTGGGTCGTTAGCGGCCCGATTATCGATGCATTTTCAAGTTCAGGTTCCGCGTGGGTACTCTACCTGAGAGCACATCAAACACATGACGATCAATTGGAGCAACCGTTTTATCCAATATGTGGTGTCCTTACGGCCGTTTTAAACGGACCGACTTTTTTGTCAAAAATTTCGACATTTGTCTTTCAAAAGCTTGGAACCTGTGTGCAGTCATTTTAAACGTGTGACGTGGACTTGTGCAACTTGTGTCAAAAAAATGACGCCGTCCGTGAGTTGTAGCGCTCACTTCGAGACAACACACACGACACAACACAAACCGCGGAAAACACGACATCATGGACACCGACATGGATATCACCACCACCCAGCGTGGCCGGCAGACCAAAACCCCGGCGAAATTCCAGCAGACGGGCTCTCTCGGTGCCGCCGTAGGCGGTGGAGGCTTGCTCTCCAGCAAGATAGTGCTGCTGCCTGGCATCTCGGGGAACACTCATGTTACCACGGGAGGCGCTGCCGCCACCAACACTCAGAGCGAGGGTGGAGCAAGCCGCGGGCGAGGGGTGGCAACCACTGCTCCTACCCCCCCGGGAAAAGGAAAAAACAAAGCGGCGGACGCGAAGCAACAACTGCAAGCCATCATGGCGGACCGCCGGTTTTNGAGCAAAGTTTTCGCGCCCAACTTCGTTCCAAATATTTTTGAAAAAAATGGACAAACGCCTACATACAGGTTCCATTTTTTTTGACACTTTCAAAAATTTTGACAAAAAGTCGGTCCGTTTAAAACGGCCCTTATTCGCGGATGGGGTCTTTCCTCGCAAGGCATGCTTTTATTTTGCCTTGCTCGTGGGAGCTCTGGTGCGTGCTCCTGGTTGTGGCTTGAAGCCCTTCAGTTCACGTTTGATGAGCACGAGTCAGCGGTCTCCCACTCCAAAGCGTTTTTGACACCATTGACTATCGCTCGTTTCCTCCAGGAATAAATGCGCGTCAATACCGCCTTGTACCGGCCAGGAGAGGCCAACTTTGCCAACTTTGCCCTGAACCCGCTCCGAATAAGCTAGCACCTGACCCTACCTCTGATCTGTTTGATGCGATGATCGATTTGCGTGTCGCAGCTCGGTCTTGCTTCGTATGCAGTGGGACAGACGACGCTGGAGCAGATTTTTAACAGCCTCGCCGTCACCAAGGACAACCCTGAGGTTAGGCTGAGACAGACAAGCGAGAGCGAAGATGCTGTGTAGATGTCGATGGAGACATGAACGAGTACAGAAGACGAACGGGAAGGTTAGGGTTAGGGTCCAAACGAACCCTCAGAATTCGCATATGGCGGATGGAACAAGTCCTTCGGTGCACCACCACTGTCGAAGAAGGAATAAAACGACTGACAACGGAAGGACGAGTAACACGGGGGCGCGGATATCTAATTTGTATGCTGGGTACTGGGGATTTGTGGACCCAGGTTGCGGGGAGCATGGTAGGGCGCCGCCATGTCCCCTGAGGACACGCCGAGCAAAGAAAATTTCCGGAGGTGGTGAGTCCTTGATGTGTACGGAAAACCTCATAGCCACATGGCCTAGTCAAGCATTGCTACCCTGCATGGGGTGGCATGCATTACGGGTCCACAGTCGAGGCACGGGCTTCAATGCGGTTCAACGCTGGGATAAGGGTGAAATACCGGGAGAGAGAGAACACAAGGGCCACAATTGTGTGCACGATGGGCGGATGGGCGGAGTGCCGTCTTGTCGTTGCTGTTGATGTCGACGTTGGAGAAATCATTTTTTCGATTCCTGCACCAGTCCGTCGGCATCGGAGCCCTGACACAGGAGATGAATGGCGATTGCTCTTTGTCCCAGTTTGATTGCGGCCTCCCCACTCGCAACCGGTTGGAGCCCCCAACTTCGTCGATCACGAGTCGGACCACTCCAGAGGCGCAGTCGATTCGTGCGATCCTGCCCATGGCCCTCTAATGCTACAAGTGCTCGAAAAAATTTGCAAATGTTTCTTCGACCAAATGATGACCGCTGTCCTCGTACATTCCCAAGCTCTAGCTTGGGTCTCTCCAGTTTTTTTTTTCCGTGTCATTTTCATTAGCATTGCCCATCCCTTGCCCGACCGGGTCTCACAGCCGATCTCAGCCCACACTGCGAACCTCCGAGAACTACCAGCAACTCTGTGTAGCTGAGACGATTTCAACACTTGTCACTGTTGTTTGAGCAGCTATCGGTTCCTGCGGCGTGAGAACCGAGTTCTGCGTTATTGATGCGGTGGAGCAGAGGTTGACTTCTTGCCGAGGTCCTTCCTGAAAAACGCTCATCATCAATCTCCACACGCCGTCATGCTGCACAAGGCTTCTAGCGTGTTGTGCATCCTGGGGAATCTCGCACATGAAGCACAGCTAATAATAGTTCTGTGTAGCCAAGATGCACGACCTCTCCGACGGGAACGGGTAAGCTACACAGTGGCAGGCAGCTACGTTTCTTGGTGATAAGCTTTTAGCGGAAATTTGGTACGTTACACGCCTGATCATGTATGGAACACATATTCAGCAGTTCGACGGAAGCACGGGATTTTACCCTAGGTGTTGCTCGAAAGCGGTAGATGAGCAGCGCGTGATTGGCAGTAGGCAATGGCGCCTCTTCCCATGTTTCATGTTGGTAAATGTCGTGGCTTCTGGGGAAAATATGTTGTATTGATGAGACCTGGGTCCAAAGAGACAGGCCAGCAAGTGGAGTGAGCTAGATAGGCGAGCACGCCGCACCACCAGCTGTATCACACTTGGGCATCGGCCCGATCACGCATATACGCAGAACACTGACCAACGCATGAAGCGAACCAAAGCACTTTCCTTCAAAAAGATCTCTCGGCAGAGCCTTCGTCAGGATGTCTGCATGCTGTTCGTCGCTAGAGCCACGACTGATGCCAATGTTGGTATGTCCGTACTTGGGAGAAGAAGACACGCTTTAACTCTCTCTCATTAGGCACCCGCGGGAGCGAGGAAAGGAAGGGAAGAAGTGGCCCTCCCGAATTCGGGGAAGGGGGCCCACACATAGTAGCTTTTTACAGGCATACGCATGCTCCTGTCTACGTACCCCCCCGTGCTGCTAGCAGATCTACCATGCTCGTATCCAGACACACGAACACCCTCCCCGGTTGATCAAGCTATTGACAAACCATCAGTGGGGCATGGATACTCCAGATCTACTTAAGTTACTCATACAACAACGGGTGCAAGGGAAAACTCGGCCATCCGGATCAAGAACCCTCGCCTACAAGCTCAAAACATAAAAGAAACCGTCGCTATCACAAAGGATTCCAACGGCCGCACTATCAGGGCAGGACCGAGGTGTTCGTGTGTCTGGATACGAGCATGGTAGATCTGCTAGCAGCACGGGGGGGTACGTAGACAGGAGCATGCGTATGCCTGAAAAAAGCTACTATGTGTGGGCCCCCTTCCCCGAATTCGGGAGGGCCACTTCTTCCCTTCCTTTCCTCGCTCCCGCGGGTGCCTAATCAGAGAGAGTTAAAGCGTGTCTTCTCCTCCCAAGTACGGACATACCAACACACTAGTGTTTATTCCCTCGAGGGAGTCCATTAGGGATGGCGGGCCGCAGAACCGGAGGGACCACTCCGGACGGCTCGCAGGCAGGAGACACAAATAGCAGCGAGCAGATCGACAGCATGCGGTCTGAGATCAGTTCGCTGACACAGCAAATGGGCCAGCTGGTGCAGCTGGTCGGAGGACTTGCTGCACGTATAGAGGAGAAGTCCGGCGGTGCCACGGAGGGCGCCGCTGAAAGCGGCGGCGCCGTGGAGAGCGTCGCCACAAGCACTGCAGGTCATTTTGGGACCGTGCAGTACGACGGGAGCGCGCAGGCAGCGGACCTGCGAAGAGAGTCTGGTCCTTCGGGACGACACAGCGGCGAAGTAGGGGGTTCAGACCCCCAAGAGGTGAGAGTAGCCGCTGCTCACAATCAAGCTTGTTTCAGCAGCGCCATGGGAAGTGGTGCTGCTGTCTTTGGTAGTGCGAGCGTGGGATACCAAAGCGTGAAGTACACAGCGCCCACGTTCAGCGGAGACGCCAAGAGCTTTTCTTCGTGGCTAGAGGATTTTTTTATGGCAGCGAACACAGCAAACCTTCTTGAGCTTTTCGAGGAGGGGGGGGGGGAGATCCCCGTAAACAGTGGGCAGAGCAAAGTCCAACTGTCCAGGTTTTACCCGCACGACAAAGTAGAGCTCGCTTTCCACGCGTGGAATTTCCTCCGTGGAGCTCTCAAGGACGAGAAAGACAGGACAATAATGAAGCGAGCTGAGTCGCCCCTGGGGGCGCTCCGTGAGCTGAAGGGGTTGTACGACCCAGAATCGTCCATGCAGCCTGCGGATGAGTTAAAATCCCTGACATCCAAGAAGATCCCGATGGCAGAGAATCCGCAACATGCTCTCAACAGTATGCTCGCCACCGCAGAGTCCCTTTCGAAACGGGGGCTTGATGTTAACGAAACCTTCGTTTTGCACCTCTTCTTGGATGCCCTCTCCAACGAGTACGCTATGACCAAGCACGCCCTCAGACACAAGGAGAGGTTGACAAGGAGTGACGTCCTGAAGGAGGTCACCATCGAATATCGATCGATCATGGAGAAGGTGAAGGCGGGGAAAGGCAAGGGCGCGCGCGGCGCCGAGCAGGCCTACCTCGCCGATGGAGGCGGCCGCCGTGGGCGGTCGTCGTGGCGTGGGGGCGGCCGCCGAGGGCGGTCGTCCTGGCGTGGTCGTGGCGGTGGCCGCAGCGGCGGCCGCGGGGGCGGCGACAGCAGCGGAAAAGGCGGTGGCGGCGTCGAGGAGAGCAAGGGGAGTGGCTCTGGTGGGGCAGATGGCGGCGGTACCGGGGACAAGAAGTTCCCGGGCCGGTGCTTCACGTGTGGCCGTTTCGGACACACGCAGCAGGACTGCACCACCAAGGAGAGCGACTACCTCCCGCAGTGCTCACACTGCGCAGGATGGGGTCACAGCAAGGACAAGTGCGCGACGGAGGAGGCCGTCCTGGCGCAGATCGTCCATGCCGACAGCGACGCCGACTCCGTCGACAACCAGGCCTTCTGCGCGGCGCCGGGCCTGCCAGGCGAGTGTGGTGCTGTTGACCTAGGTCTAGTGGGGGTAACGGAACTAGGCCAGGATGTCATGGTGTACGTGGCTGATACAGCAGCCACGTGCTCCATGTTCCGATGCGCAAACGCGTTCGTGAACTAGCGCGAGTATAGTGGTTGGGTCAAGGGGCTCGGAGGCAACAAGGCCCCCGTTCCTCTCCTAGGGTACGGAGACGTGACCGTAGTCTTTCTGACCGAAGGCGGTAGGGTACCAGTGCTAATCCTGAACGCCGCTCATGTGCCCGAGTCCCCCCACAACCTTCTCTCACTGTCGGCGTTGGCCGAGGAAGGCCACACGTATTCCGGCCAGAAGGGGGGGCTGACTCTCACTACGAGGACCGGGGGGAAGGTGTGGTTCCCCCGGACGGGTAAGCTGCTAACTCAAGAAGGCTATCAAATCGAGCCGAAGGTAGACATCGCCTGTGCCGCAACAATTGTTCCTGGCGATGCGAAAGCAGCCACCCCCACTGACCTCAACTAATATCACAATTCGCACGGCCACACGCACGAGGAACTGCTCCAGAAAACGGCGAAACAGCAAGGAGTGCAGCTGACGGGAGGACCGCTGCTACCATGCCTCGGCTGTTCGATGTCCAAGCGGCAGGTGAATCCCATTTCAAAGAGCACGGACACACGCGCAGCTAAGAAATTGTTCCGCCTCTTTCTCGATTTGGGGGGGAGGATGCAGTTCAAAAGCAT